TTGGCGTGTTTTAGGGATTTTTTGGAAAATTTTTCTACTCCCAAGATAATAATAGGGGTCGGAAGTTTTCAAATTGACACCCTGTATATTCAATACATATCTTATTGTAACTATACCAAGCAAGTTATCTCTACCTGAACCCCACCTACGCCCCCAGGTCACGCTCCTGTTGTGACATTCTAGAACGAAATGTATAGGGATTGTAACAATATTTTAAAAGAAAAAGCCAATAGCACTTTTAGAACAAATTAAGAACCTTTTTTTGGTTTTAACAAGGGTTTTTTTGAGGTTCTTTTTTTTTGATATTTTGAACAAAAAATCGTCTATGAAAAGACTATTATCTCTAATTTTGATTCTCTTTTCGTTAAACGCCTACTCTAAGTCTATGTACCTACTATGGATTTTGAATAAAAAATACTCGAAAAAACATGAATAATCTCAATGTCATTAAAATGCAATTCCACACAAAATTTAAAGGTTAATATTTGTGTGCTTAAAAAGACATAATAGGTTTAATGAAAGTTTTTTTGTCAATTACTTAACCGAAAAGCGATGAAATATGATTTAAGAAGTATCGAATATTGAGTTGAACAAGATCAAATCTATAGGATTCTTTCTAGCTGTATTCGGTTTGAAGTTGCAAATTATTTTTATTTGCAATCATACAAGTAATCTTGTCATTACTGACTTTTTAAAAATTTGGAAGTGACACCTTACCTGTGTCACTTCCCTCTTCGATTTCCCTATTCGACTTCCCTCACTCTAATTCATTTACCTTTGCTGGCAACAATGAGAACATGTTTTATTTGCAAACATATATGTAATCTCGACATTACTGACTTTTTAAAAATTTGGAAGTGACACTTTACCTGTGTCACTTCCCTCTTCGATTTCCCTCACCGATTTCCCTATTCAACTTCCCTCACCGATTTCCCTCACTCTAATTTATTTACCTTCGCTGGCAGCAATGAGAACATGTCAGGTAAAAACGTCAAAACAGGTGAATCACATATTTTGGCATGTTTGTTTTATTTTTTTAATATCAAAAAAATTAAATGACTAATCATAATTAATGGTGTGCTTGCAAATAAAATAGTATACAAACCTCCGAGGAAAGTTTTCATTTCTGTCTCGAGATTAATAGTCAATCTCGACGCTTCGCGTCTCGATTGACTATATAAATCTCTCGACAGTAATGAAACACTTCCCTACTCGGTATGTAATATACTATTACTAAATTAGGAAAATTGGATACAACCTTTTTCTGTTCATTTAAACTCGCCTCTGCTTTTTTTTGCACCTAGTACTGTATCCCTGGATTTTATTTTAATTAATTAAATTATTTTAATTAATTTTCATCCATGAATTCACAAAAAACATTTGACAATGTTTCTGTGTATTTTGTGCCTTGACACAATTAAAAAAGGGTAATTTTATTTAAATTAAGCCATGAAATATAGCTACTGTACTAAGTACTTTTTACAATATTTGTTTAATTAAATTGACTGGTAATTGGACAGAACAGAGGATGAAAGAACAGAACATGAACGAACATAATATGAAAAAACAGAACTATGAAAAATAAGAATTACTTGAAGGGAAAAGTATGTAAAATATAAAAGTCCCAAATAAATAAGTCATGAGAAACCCTAAGTAGGTGAAGTTTGAACAAAGGTTCGAATCAACTAAGAAGAATACCCATGCATTATTGTTTGTCTCACTTCAAATGCCTAGAGAAAAGGACATTTGCCTTCTTCGTCAGTGATGACATCAGTGGCTTCTTCTTAGACAGTGCCTATTGTGGGGACATTAGTAAAGATAGATTGATACAAGTATGGGACAAGCGACTACCTTTTCCAAATTTTTTAGGCGATATTAATTAACTTGCTTTTAGTAAACTAAACACAAACACAATACAGTGAAACCCACCGAGTAAATAAAAATTCAGCTACTAAATTTACTATGATCACTATATTATTTTATTCTATAGCGAATGGTAAACTATCATTTAATCAACTCAAAACTCAATGTTAAAGTAACACTTTATATGAAGTAGTGAAATCGAACAATTTTTACCCACTCATTTGTCAATTTTACCCACTTCACTTATACGTCAATTTTACCCACTTGTTCAAATCTTTTATAATGATTATAGTGTTTTTGACAGAAATCTTAATGTTGCATCATGTTGCATGATTGACAACACCAGAAATGTGTCAGTTTGTTAGGTACTTTGTCAATTTGTCATAATATATGTAAAATTTTAGCACATTTTAGTTTATGATTTTAGTAATTGTGATAAATAAAATGTTGCTCAAGAATAAAATAGAATATTACACACGACGGTAAAAAAGCTTTACCTAGTTCGTGGAATTAATCCACTCGATCCTTCGTCGCTCGTGAATCAACATTTTCCACTCACAGGTAAAGCATCTTTTTACCGTCTTGTATAATAAATAACCAATTATAAGTAGAGTTGGAATACAGGCTATATTAGACGTTTATGGAGAACTAAAAAGTGAATCATTTTGAAAATTTGGCAACTGGGATAAACGATCATGATCTACACTTTAAAAATATTTTTGACCATGTGGTGTTTCCGCTTCTACTCTAAACCAGAGGCAACATCGCTATTTTAAATGGAAGTATGTGATTGCATATTTGGATTCTACGTAAAATTCTGAGCAGATATCATGTGATATACCCTATACCTCGCCCTATACTTAAGTTCAACTATTTTGGAAATATTGACAGTTGAGAATTGACTTTTTGCAAATTTGACAGGCTGTAAAACCTGAACGGTTAAATTTAGAGGAAAACCGATTTTACATTCCTATCTTAGATTTTTATAAACTAACATTTGACACTAACTTTGAATTAAATCGAAGATTAAAAATTCCAGTTAAATTTAATCTCCGGTTAAGTTCAAAGTTGGTGTCAAATGATAGTTTATGAAAGTCTAAGATAGGAATGTGAAATCGGTTTTCCTCTAAAATTAACCGTTTAGGTTTTACAGCCTGTCAAAGTTGCAAAAAGTCAATTTTCAACTGTAAATATTTCCAAAACAGTTGAACTTAAGTATAGGGTATATCACATGATATCTGCTCAGAATTTTATAATTATAAATATGCAATCACATACAGGGTGTTCCATTTAAAATAGCGATGTTGCCACTAGTTTAGAGTAGAAGCGGCAATACCGCATAAACAAAAATATTGTATTTTAGCATAATAGACAATGAAATATGCAAACCAATCGCAATTATTTTAAAAAAAACGCCCTAAAAATGTGAAAACCCGAGTAGGTATAGGGTTGTAGTTTGTAGTATAAAAGTAGGTATGGGCCTTTAAGAGATTTTCAAAAGTGTGATTATTATTATATAAAATTAAATAACTAGGAAGGTTTTTTTTATTTATTTATTTTTCCCTGTTGTTCATACTTTTCAGAGTTCAGCTGGGGGACTATGTAATGAATAGAAATATTTTCTCTATCTCTATTGATGTACCTTCTCTATTGCTTTCGAAAAGAGAGAAGAAGACAGCAAGTGCCATAGAGATAGAAATAACGATCACTATTCGTTACATAGTCCCCCAGCTGTTTTGTCAAGGTTCTTCTATTTCAGTGATCTCTTTTTTCTCGATTGTGTTATGACATGGCTCTCTTTTCTCCTTGTTCTGTATTATCACTGTTCTGTTTTTTCCTTGGTTTTTCCACTGTTATTCTGTCTTTTCATGTCTTGTTTTTCGCGATCTGTTCTTTCATGGATCCAAATTGACCATCAACTTTCCTATTTACTACTTTTTTATATCAATCTTGGTCTCACCTCGGGTATCACTTCAATTAACTGGTACCTACCTGTATCAGGTAAAAAAGCACTTTTGCATGATAATCCTGTACAAAATAAAAAGAAAAATATAGGAACTAATAGAAAAGCAGCAAAATAGCATAGATATTAACTGGGATATTAAGTATCACAAAAAACAATTAAAAAACAAAACTTTCTACTAGAACATAGAAGTGTTATCTGAGGTCCTATCTACTGAAAGTGGACATATTATAAAATAGCAAACATTATTGATCCATGATTATTTCTCTAAATATTTGATATTTGGGGGTGTTTGCTTGTGATACAACAGTATCAAATTATAGAAATGTAACATTTCAATTTTTGGGGTTTAAAATTTAGGGCCAGCCAGGATTATTCAATTTCCTAATTTTTGTTTTTAATTCTTAATAATCTTTAAAAACAATAATATTAGATATTTCGTAAAAGGGTGTTCAACTTTTTACCACATACGTATTAGATACCACCTTAAATTCTTAATAAACAGCTATTAACCAGCCATAAAGGCATTAACTTGGACTCGGGCATTAAGTACATATTTTAACCTTGGGTTGTGTCGTCTCTTTGGCTAATCTAGAGTGGCATATCTTTAATTTTTTTATGTAAATTCTTGATTGAGACAGCTCTAATCTAACCAGACTTCTGGATTAATTAATTAACTCTGGAACTAGACACATCTGTTCATTTTAATACAATAAAATAAATAGGCGCAGGGCACAGGAAACAAGAGATGACATAATTTAAAAGTTTATATTTGATTGTTTCGTATGGACAATTTTGAAAAAGTAAAAACATTGTTCGAGCAATCCGAGGAATACTTACCTATTATAAATATGTGTTATCTGATTGGTCGATATTCAATATGAATACTGCAGTGATTGGTTTTCCACTCTTTGCCAGAACAAAGCTATAGTAAATAAAAATAATGCACTTTGGTTTTTGTAAACCTTCAAATTATAGAACATCCGTATTAACCATAATTTAATAACATAACTATTAAACGAAATTTGGGATGTTCCATCAAAGTGGGCACATGACACACCCTGGATGGATGTCAAAATTTGATTGGCATTGTTGCCAGCGGTTAAATCAATTGAACAAGTAAAAAAACACAATTACAAAAACCAATAACCAATGTTTTCTGTCTGAGACTCACCTTATTTTGGTCTAATCCGGAATAATGGCCGGTCGATAAAGAACCCGGAAAGCGTCGATAAAATGCTAAAATGTCACAGAGGAAGATCAACTACGCCCCATTAAAAAAGAGAATTCGTTCCGTCGCACTCACGGAGGCGTCAGTAAATTTGTTTTCCGATGTACACCGGCCGGTTGAGCACTAGCGATAAACTATCGATTAACAAAAATCGAACAAATAACAGTTTGGTAAAGGAAAATCGCGGATTAAAAAAAAATCTCTTCCAGCAAACAACACAGACACAATCGGTTCTCCTTCTTCAACCATTCGCTGCTTCAACAACTCTCGTCTCGTCCTCGACTTTCCTCGGTTTAGTTGTTTTCGGTTTTTGTTTGGCATGTCTAGTTGGCGCTCGCGCACGACCGCCAAGCAACCGACAGGGTGCGCAACAACAAAACGAAAAATGACAGTTCCAAAAGACGACAGTGTTGCCAATTAATTAATTATTCTTCTAACCTTACGTTCGGTATTTTGCTCAAAGTGTAGAGCGAGGCGAGCGAGCTGAGCGGAGCCGTAATGACGTGACCAGCGAGCGAACGGAGCAGTTGAACGCTGTATAAAAGTACCGGAAATTTTAATAAACGAACGCGAATGAGGCTGCACCGAGTACACTTTTTAAATAAACGAACGGTAAAGTCAAGCTCGGAGAACTCAGACCAAAATAACGAACGCACGGTTTGGCATCAGGGATGCTATCAAAACTAAAAAAATTGTACCGGAAAGTAGGGAATAATTGTACTAGAATGGCGACATTGTGTACTAGCTGAAAGCGCGTCATATTTTGAATTTTGAATACAAATGTAGGCTTCGCTATTTGGGAGTAAATATCACTTGTTAAATGATAGAAATAAATAAATTTCTAAATTTGTGTACATATTTAGTCATAAATCGACTACCGATTACCGTAATCGGTTGAATAACCGAATTAGGCATTCGTTGACGTCATAATGGTCATACCTTAGGGTCATACCGATCCGCCATTTTAGCTGCTGAGTGGCAAACAAAAGCCAAACATAACCTGAGGCGATTTTCAGCCTGGAATGATTAGAGATTAGAGAGTGCAATAAGGACGTGCAATAAGGACAAGCAGTATTCAAATTAGCCTTATTTTGACATATACGCATGCGCATTTGGCTCCGAAATTAAGGATTCCCTTATTAAGGTTACTGCTTGTCTTTATTTGTGCATGGTTAGTGCGAGGCAGTAAACTTCCCTTATTTCAAATTTCTGACATTTTGGACGACTTTGACGTTTCGCTTTTCGACGATGACGTAATTTTACTTAGAAAATTTATTTTTTATAATAGTTTTCCATTTTACTGTGGGTAACATCAAAAAATGGGTATCAGCAGAAAATCACAAACAAAAATAAACACTTTTTGAGGCTGAAATTTATAAACATAACTATCAGCTGTCAAAATTATGAATACAAAATAAGGTAATACTCTAGCACCTACTAGACTCTTCCAATAACTGTTTTTTCTTGGAAAAATAGTGCTGATGCACTAATGAAATAACGTAGATCCTTAATACTGCGTGGCAGTATTTAATAGTTCCAATAACTCTCTATTATTATTTGGTTATAACCAATGCATTTCCGCCGTCGCGGTTTTAACCAAAGTAGGGGAAGTTGTGATGTCACATATCAGCTGGTTTGCTTTTGGTATTTACCACTTATAACCGATTATAACCCAGCTTTGGACTTGGGTTAATCTTTTGGTTACAGCTTTTTGATGTTATTTGTTATTATTTTTGGAATTTGTATTGGTGTTTTGTGATTTTGGAGTTGCGCTGTAGCCTGGCACAATGAAAGAAGTATACATTCACTCACTCACTGCAATTCACCATGTTTAGATCGAGGTTTAGATCATCCCCAAAGAAAATCTGTTCGATAAACGAGACTAACGAGAGATTCAGCTCCATTTTTTGTACCCAAACAAAAAACTATTGTTGAAACGAAAAAACAAATAAGAATAATAAACATAATCCTACACTGCTATAACCAAATCATTTCAGCGGTCAGTTCTCACAGCAGAAATTAAGTGTTCTAGATCCTTGAGTATTCCAGAATTTGATGGTGGGGGAGTTAGGAGAGTATGACACAAATGACACATCACATAATCCAGCAAAAGATTATGCTTGGTTATCCTCGTGAAAAATTGCTTATGGTTTCGAACGCACACGCACTTTTTTATTCTGTAACTTGACGTGTGTCATGTATCGGGGGTTATTAGGCATTCCTGGTCACGTGACTTTTGACAGGTCCGCCATATTAGCTGAGGGGCAAACAAAGCCTATAGATCATATTGCTTACAATGTTTATTGAGTTTGTGCTTTGGATTTTTTGCGTTTTTTGATTTATTCAATAAATTTTAAGTTGTTTTTAGTTTTTGTGAATGAATGAATGAATCTTTATTTACAGACATGCCACTTTACATTTCAATTCAACAATAGTAAACAAACAATTTATTAACAAAAATAATGCTTAAGAATCTAAATTGTTTAAAAAATAAAAAAATTTGATACTAAACAACCTTACAAATAAACTTTAGCAAAATAAATTTGTGGTAGAATGACTCCTCAAACGTTTTGACTGTTCTGATCGGTGCACAGATCTGGCATGTAGCTTAGCTTACTGGCTTATTCATTCTGGGCTTCTATCAATTATCGTAGTATATCCTAAATTTGTACTGGGGACCCAATCCGGATTGTTTGTATCCTTAAATTCGCTGGGGTGTGTTCAAAGACGGCAATGCTTATGCCAAAACTTACTTTTCCCCCTCCACCGGTAATGCCGAACCACGTAGGTCGGAGCCAAACTCGAACGCAAAATGCCAATTTTGGCTTGGCTGTAGCCATTCCTGAACGCAGCCCGGGACTACCCTAAAAGGTACAGTGGCTAAATAAACCTTTACATACAGTGGCGACAATTCGAGGTCCCGCCGCCATCTTGTTCCCAACCTCTTATTACCTTTAAATATTAATATATAGGATTTAAATGAACATCTATCATAGAAAATTGAAATTAGACGTATTTGATGACCATTATTAGGTCCATCAAATACGTGTTTTCCATGATTTATGATGGATGTTCACCTAAATCCCATATATTCATATTTAAAATTAACAAGAGGTTGGGAACAAGATGGCGGCGTTTTCAATATAAATATATGGGATTTTAGAACCAATCAAAAATAAGACAGCAATTGTTGCCACTGTGGTAATAGAGTCACTGTACTAAAAGGTATAGACTAAATCACGATAGAAAGTGAAGTTGACAGTTCGCGTTGACATTTTCAGTAAACTTTTTCTTTAGGTTGTCAGCATGCGTTAGCGCTTCGATTCCGTCAGCTGGGATAAACGACAGGGTCGTATTTAGGAAAGTGATATACATTTCAGAATAAAAATTTATTTCCAATTTCTTTAAAGGAAGTTAAGTTATTAAAATCCAAAAATCCTAAAATTAGAGTCCAAAGTAAACACTTATAATAAGAGTAAACACTTAAATCCAAACTAAAACCAGGTTTGAAACGCAACACCGAAACACAAAGGAACAGAACACTACATAAAAAACCAAAAAACCGATTGCGATAATAACAAATAAAAAAAGAATGCAGTAAACGGCAAAAAACTGAAAGATTTCACACAAAAATTCGAAATTCAAAATTCAAAGACCCGATATCTGTTATTTTTATGTGTCAAATCAAAATGTCATGTATCATTATTTGATAGTTGTCAGAAAAAGGGACAGATCTGGGGATTTTATTTATTTTCAACTGGTGAAAATAAGGCTAGCCGCGCACTAGTAACTTTTTCATTGACCAACATAAAAGTTGCTCAATCAAAAAGTTGCTGATAAATTTGTGCACCACGCACTACACTGGTGAGTTGCTTTGTTATAAAATGGATTTCGTTGAGACAGCAGTAATTATTGGTCTTATTTTAAAAAATAGAAAAAAAAAGAACAAAAAACGTTTTTGGGTTCATCCAATTATCAGTTTTATAAGCTTTTTGAAAGTTTACGTAAATATCCTCAGAAATTTTTCCAATACTTCAGAATGTGCTATACTAGTTTGATAGGCTGCTGTCCCTAGTTAAAAGCCATTTTGTACGTCAGGACACTCGTATGCGGTTGTCTGTGCCAGTAGCAGAAAAATTGGCTGTAACATTAAATACTTTCTTCATGAAAGCACCGCCAAAAATGGTATACAATGCAGCGAAGAACGTTTGACAAAGCCCATGCAAGCAACTAATTAATCCCAAGTACGCGCGGACAGGTCTAGACCTGTAGGTTATATTATTTCAAGCAACAGTTGAATCGCCTTCAAAATAGATCAAGATGTAATTTTTCAGTTGCCGTGATTAAAAAGTTGCTAATGCGTGGTATCTTATAAAAACAAATGCGTTTCATTTTCGCAACTATCCAGTTGCCGAAAAAAAGTTGCTAGTGCGCGGCTAGCCTAACGGTCAAAATTCAAACTCTCTCGTGAATACGACTACATTAAAAGTTACCTTGGGAAAAAATAAAGTATACTTGTAGAAACATAAACAACTTTTTTGATGTACCGAGATTAAGTGTTTTTGTATTTTAACAACAAGACAGTCATAAAACTTACCATTAACAAAATGTTTCGAACAAATTCGAGCATTTTCAACAACGTTACAGGCAAATCTCCCCTATTGAGGCATCTAATTCACATACTGCGTTGTTTTTTTGATAGCTCGTTTATGCGATCCCCTCGGTCTTTAAATGCTGCTGGAATCCTAAAAAACCTCACTTTATCCCTTTCAGCTCTATTGGAGCACCCAAAAACGCCACAACACGAAGGCATCTTCACAAAATAATACTTCAAAAATTCTCGGTTTGCATTGAAAATAACATTAAATCAGAGGCGATTTTCAGCCTGGAATGATTATTTATCGGTAAATACCGTGGTTATTCTTTTGGTATTCCATCGAGCATTCGAGCAGCATTCCATCGAAGACTGCGGATGACGTCAACACTATTAGCTGCTGATAGTGACGTTACTCGCAGGCCCAGAATTGACCTTTTGTTTAGACGCCATATTGCGGTGCGCGAACATAGTTGCCAAAAGAAGAAAACAAAAATTGTTAGCGGGCTGCCAACATCAAAAACCCAGAAGTCATTTATTTTAATTTGTCAAAAAAAATGAATGTGTCACATGAACTAATCTACGACAACCCTTTACTCCAAGTTGTGACGTATTCGATAACAAAAGTATGAACCCTCGAGAAACGAACCTTAGATATTTTATTATTTCTATTCTGCCCAATACAAGCTAAAATTGATGGCTTTTCATTTCAAAAACATTCGTAATAGGCGGCAAATTTGAAGTTTAGATATAATTTATTCAGTAACTTTTGTTTTTAATGTTGACAGTACGCTAGTAATTTTTTTTTCTACTTTTGGCAACCATGTTCGCGCACCGCAATATGGCGTCCAAACAAAAGGTCAATTTGATGGACGGGGAGTTAGGGAAGTATGACAAAATTGACACATCACATAACCCAGCAAAATCAGATACTTAATGCTTGATTATCCTCGCGAAAAATTGCCTCATATTTGAAACGCCAATTTCTTGTTTTTCTTTAGCTGCACCGGAGTCAAACCTGGAACGTAGAACCCAACCCATAAGTAGAGCTCAGAACTCGGGTACGGTAGAGCGAAAAGCGACAATCGACTCGTAAACAAAATTGTACTAGATATATGAGAGAGGTACTAGCGTACTAATACAATGTAAAATTGTCTCTTTCAAATTTTTTATGTAAAGTGCGTTTTTTTTTTAAAGATAATTCCCCAAGTCAAAAATTTAGTAACTATGTTGGCAACACAAGCCTTTTCTACATAAAAAATTTGAAACATTGACAATTTTACATTGTATATTGCCAGCATAATGTCATTTTGACTTTTATCTTTAAAAAAAAACCAGACTTTAGAATTACCCGATTTCGGTATTTTTTTACAAAAAACTAAAGAAAAAAAAAACAATAGGTACAAAATACTATCCGAAAACCGAAAACAAATAACAAACACAAAACAAAACTAATGTCAAATGTAACTCCAATTCTTAATCTAATTTTAGCACTTAAACACATTTTCCTTATGTATCAAGTATAAAAGCATAATTCTAAAAAAAAAAATATCCTGTGGCCGGTTATGTTGTTTTCAACTGAATAACCGGTAAGCCGGTAATGATAAACCGATTTGAAGCGGACGACCACCCTTAAACGGTAATTACTTTTCAAGTTATGGCGATTTTGGTTTTATGTGGTTATATTTAATGTCGTCACTAGCAAGCCCTTTGTTAATTGTTACGTCATCGTTTCACATTTCTATAACCGGTATTTACCCACGGATAATACACACTACTACAGCAGGAAATGGACTCTTTCACTAATTTTTGAAATTGGCATATTTGGATAAAGCAACTAAAAACAGAATTTTCTGTATTTTTACTTTTGAAAAATTTATAGTCCTTCTTGAGAAAACAGAAAAAAAAGAAATACCTCCAAATAAAAACCCAGAATTTATTTCTATGACGTCGCAGCTCGCTATTTGACCGTGTTGCCACTAATTGTCAACATTGAAAATTTGTAATAGATTTAATTCTGAAATGTTCCCAAAATATCATGAAAAGTAGTTAAATTAATTAGTTATGGATTCAAGATTTTATAACATTTTTATTGAAATTATGCTTAAACAGAATTTAATATAATTTTCTATGTTTAGTTTTATTTATTTATTTTACGTTGCACTACATTTAGTCACCACCGACAACAGCGCATTCGAACCTTTACCTGCATTTACTACAGGATAAATACAGCAGAGGCGGACAGCTCTTTCCAACAACAAGCGAAATGAAAAATATTTATGCGACGTCAGCAAATCGGCGCGTTTTTAAATAATTCAAATTTTGGTAGTTTAAAATGCCTGTAAAAAACTTATTTAACCTTGTAGAACATTTTTTTTTGGTATATGTGCCTAAAATAGTCCCTCCTTTGGGATTTTATACCTAAATTACGTATTTAAATTTTGCACCACAGGTAATGATTCCGCGGGCTTTTGATTTATGCATACTTGGTTTTAGTTCATTAATTAACATTCTTAAACAACGCTTTGAAGTCGCGGACAATGAACTATAACCAAAAACTGGAATCATGCTAACACATAAGGACGAACTTGAAGCCAGAGCTGGGCAAAGCCCTCAGTAAAAGGGCTTGAAGCACTAAGCCCTAAGCCCTCTATCAAAGTGCTTCAATTTCAAGCTCAAATTCCTTTTTATTTTCAAAAGTGCTTCACAAGCACAAAGCCCTCAAAGTGCTTTGGGCTTAACAAGCACAAAGCCCTCAAAGTGATTTGAAAAGTGCTTGAAGCACATCAAAAGTGCTTGGGGTGCCTAGAAAAGGGCTTAAAGCTCTTTAAATGTGCTTCAAGCTCTTTAAATGCAGCAAGTTTTGAATATGTGTTTTCATGCATATTTCAATTTTTTTGTTTCGAGTTTTGCTTGCAGCTTTAAGGGCGGGTATTATAAAACTACTTTGAGAGTTAACTCAAAGTTAACTTCTGGAATTACATGTAATTCAAAAAGTTAACTTCAAGTTAACTGTCAAAGCAGTTTTATAATACCCGCCCTAAGAGCAGCTTTATAATACCCACCCTAAAGCCTAGTCTCCATGGACGCGAAATCGCGAATTTTTTTTTGCGGATATTTTCCGATTGGTTGGAATTTGACATTTAACATTTGATTTTTTTATGGCGGGAAAAATTCGCGAATTTTTTAACTTCTTGCGGCGTCGCAAAAAAGTTAACTATTTTTTAACTTTCCGCGAAATTTCGCCAAAAAAAAATGAGGTTATGTGGTGTTACTTTCAGTTTAGTTTTCTTTATGTTTTTGTCGGTATGTGCTCTGTTCTCTATGAGTCGTTGATGTGTTTTGTACTTGTAGATACCTAATAAAGAATGGATACTGCCAAAGAATTGAATATTGTAGACCCGAAAACAGACATAAATTACAGCTTGTTGGTCGATGAGGAAGATTATAATAGGGCCTTAAATGTAATTAAGACAACACCAAGACACATATCTTTTTTTGTTTTTTAGTAATCACTTTCATGGTTTTCAAAGATTAGTGTTTGAAATTCAAAGCATTTAAATCAAATCAAAACAACAACACATAGGTAACCTTAACCTGTTAAATAAAACGCGAATTTCGCGATTATGGAGACATGGGAATAATTTGCTCGGAAATAGCCACCAAAAAATGACACTTAAAAAATTCGCTTTCCGCGATTTCGCGTCTATGGAGACTAGGCTTTACGGTTTCGGTTCTAAGAGAAATATTTCGATTCGGTTCGGACCAATAATTTCGGTTTTAACGGTTCATACCGGTATAGTTTTTCACAAATATCTTATGGCCATTTGCACTGACCATTTCAAGAAACATCCCTTAAAACGGTCATTACAGAAAAATTTATGTTTCTATAATTTGTGGTTTGTGTTTTCGATCAGTGATGACGTAACAGCGTGTCGTTTCTCGCCTTGACGTAGTGCTTGCACCAGTTGCACCACGGATTAGGAGGTGTTTTCTCGCGTCTCAAAGTTTCGAAACATTTTCCAAAACTGGTTTAAATCAGTTTCACAATGACGTCATCATTTCTCAGCACGAGGAAATGGTTTTGAAACGTGGATTGGATTGTATTTCGAAACGGTTTAGGGCCATATTCTCCGTAGTTCATAAAGCCTGGCTTAGTGGAAACGCTTGGGTTTTTGTGTGACAAAGCCGAGCTTTTCGACTAAGCCAGGCTTTATGAACTACGGAGAATATGGCCCTTAGAACCATAGTACATTATTTATTATTCTAAAACAACCCTTGTTTAGATCTCATTTGCTCTTTTGCATCTTCAACTACGAACGCAAACCGCTAACGAGACCGTTGATGACGTCGGGAACGGTTCAACAACATATGAACTTGATTCCAAAAATCGAAGCCGATGAGCAACCCTGTAGTAGTATGTAAAATCCTTGGTGTGTAGCCTAGCCGAGTTCAGAAATGCGCGCTGTCCAATGTCCAACGCTCTGTTTTTTAAAGTGTTAATTTTATTATGATACAACCAAACAGCAAAACAGCTTAATTTATAAAATCTTGGAACCGAAAAAAACCGGTAAGAACCGATTAATTTATATCGGTTCCGGTTCTGCCTTGCCCTACAACAATTCTATGAAATATGGGTTTCGTTCCGGTTCCGGTCCGCAAAAAAAAAACGGTTTCGTTCCGGTTTTCGGTCCAATATCCTTCCGGTCCGGGTCCCTGCTTTGAACGCACTTCCGTACGTACAGCTCGGGAGCTCAAGGCCCCGAGTAGCTCCGGGCGTCACACTCCCATACTGGAAAGCGGCTATGGAAACTAAATTGATATTTTATATATTTTTTAAATATATCGATAATATCGTTACCTTCCTCTACAAAACTGCTAATGGAGCTTGGAATCTGCACCAGGTCACTCTACATTGATCTCCTTAGTATAGATGGCGCCATTCCACGAAATGAATTTCGATTACTAGATAGAGCCACTCAGAATTTTTCTCGCAATGTTGCCAAGTATACTTTGTTTTCCGATTATTTTCGAGTGCGCAACAAATGAAACAAACTTAAAAATGAATCAAATTATCAAATACCAGGAAAATTGTCGTGACAGCTCTGACAACGTTGTGTTGTTTCCTCACTAGTTGTCAAATCCCAAAAAAGGGGACTGGTGGGATTTATTTTTGCTCGGTTTGTGTTTTGTTATTAAAAAAATTTGTGTTGTCAGCTGTTTTGGCAATACAAATGGGCGTCGAAAAACAAAATCAAAATGATTTGCACACTTGATCTTTAGGATTCATGTAAGTAAGGGAATTCCTAGACATATACGATTCATATTGTAATATTTGAACATAGAATCAATATTTTTTCTCAAATGCATTTCATCCCTATTCAAAATATATTGGTGGACTTGGTGGTTTTTCTTCCAAAGTATTCGTCATCATTTTAATTTCATAATAATTTGCTCATTAATCATCATAGAGTATTGGCATATTACTATTAGTGTCTAATCAGCAAACTATCATTATACCATAGAAACATTCTATTTCTATTATCAATTTTTTCTAGCACCATTTTAATTCTACCATTTCTACCTATACAAGGTGTCCAAATAAACAACTTGAGGTACATGGGGATTTTGGAAATCATTGAAGATAAAGGGTGGACCAAATGAGGAAAAAGTTGCGCAATAGTGTGCCTACAAATCATCTGTCATTCTTCTTTAAACTCAAGAAAAAAGTGCATTTTATAAAATCCTTTATATTGTGTTCAATTTTTGCTCTCTTGTATTACGTTGCTATATAGAGTTCAGAGAAGTTGATGACAGATTATTTGTAGGCACTTGATTGTGCGACTTTTTCCCCATTTGGTCCACCCTGTATCTTTAATGGGTTCCAAAATCCCCATGTACTTCAAGTTATTCCAGACACCCTGTATATGTAGAGCATGTTGCTACTAGAGTAGAGGCTGGTTGGAATCTATAATTTACCATAAAAAGTGAGCCTTGAAGTGAGCATTAACTGTCTCTAATTTTAAAAAAAAATTCTCAGTATATGTTTATCTACAAAGCGTGTGGAAACTGGAAAGTGCACTTTACCGCTGCAAGTGGAAAGTAGCACTTCACTGCATAATGTGTGGTAAAGCAGACTGTTAACTGTGTGGTAAAGTAGATTTTAGTATTCACTCAGGTATTTATGATCGAGTCTATTGAGGATTTTATTACCAAAAGCCCTTTGTTTTTCAGAAGTAGATAACTATACCTATTATACAGAGTGAGTTTTAAGTATGGAACGTCTCATTGTCTCAAAAACGGCTTGCACGATTTTAATGAATTTTGGTTTGGAAGAGTATTCTAATATGGCCGATAATATGGTAGAATTTACATGGTTATCAGATCTTTCGTTTCTCGGGAAATATCCAAAACTTTGTTTTTCAAATGGATCACCCTGTATATTATGACATTTCTGAGTTCTGCAGAAAATTCTAGACTATTCATGTACAATATCATATACCTATCTTCAACTGTTTTGGAAATATTGACACTTGAGAATTGACTTTTTTTCATCTTTGACCTATGTCTTTGACAGACTAGTTGTATTCCTTTCACACCTAGGAGTAGTGATGTGAGTAGCGAATATTTCAACTAGAAGATTCCCGTAAATTACGGAAATTTCGGAAATATTCGGATTTCTTTTGGGAACATTCAGAACTTTACGAAAATTTGGTTGAAATATTGCGCGAATTTTCGGATTTTAAATTTCCCGCCAGCATTTCGTGTCGCCTCGCGTCACCACAGCGGCACAGAATCACTTAACAGCGGCGCGTTGGCGTCAAACCATTCGCCAAACTAACCTCTAAGGGCCGGTTTCTCAATAGCGAGTCACCTCCGGGTTAGTTTTAACTCCAGGTTAAGCTTGTCCAGTTGCAATAATTACCCTGGAGTTATGCCTAACCCGAGGGTGTCTTGCTATTGAGAAACCGGCCCTAACCTCGATATCAACAGCGTATGAGAGTGTTTAGTTTTGAAGGAACGAGTTGTGGCAGTTTTATCATGGTTTCTTTCCGGGGAAACACCGGCGCAGTGTTTGATTTTTTATTGTTCCATTTATTACCGAATGTGGGGAAACAAAAGTGTCGAGTGAGGATCACTTCAAATGTTTAAAAAAAGGAGAAAAAGATATGTACCAGTGTACGAAATGCTACATGTTTAGTTGATAAAACCATTTTTCTTTTCTTAACGCATTTCAACTTCATTTTTTAACAGAATATATCTCCTTATATAAACTTGACTTTATTTTAAAACAGTTCCTTACACTTACAATGAAGTAAATTGAATGTTCCCTTAAATTTCAATAAATTTCACTAAAATACGAATATTTCGGAAATATTCTGAAGAAAAAATAAATTTCGGAAATATTACATCACTACCTATGAGGAGCTCCGGAACAGCTCCGGGGCTTCACGCGCTTATTCCTTTCGAAAAGTGTTTGTTCCACCACGCATCTGTTCCCTGCAAATCGGGGGCAACTAAACACCGGAGCGAGTAGCTCAAGTGTTTCAATCTCTTGGAAGGAATACAACTACTGTGAAACCTAAACCATTGATTTTAGAGTAAAACCGATCATGTATTTCTTATCTTAGTTATTCATAAACTATTATTTGACACCAACTTTGAATTTAATCCATGATTAAAAAGTCCAGTTTAATTCAATCTTCGGTTAAATTCATAGTTGGTGTCGAATAATAGCTTATGAAAAGCTACAGACAAGAATGTAAAATTGGTTTCGCTGTAAAATTAGCCGTTTAGGTTTCATAGCCTGTCAAAGTTGCAAAAAAGTCAATTTTCAAGTGTAAATATTTCCGAAACAGTCGAAGATAGGTATGTATATGACCCAGGAATGTCATAATATACAGGGTGATTTATTTGAAAAAACAAAGTTTCTGATATTTCCAGAAAAGCGAAAGATCTGACAACCATGTAAATACCACTATATTATCGGCCATATTAAAATACTTTTCCAAATCAAAATTCATAAAAATTGTGAAAGCCGTTTCCGAGATGAGACGTTCCATACTCAAAACTCACTCATGTTTCTATACCTACAACCTACAAGCAATATCCTCACTAATGTTAATATGTCTGTTAAGTTGCTCTAGAAAGAAGATTGTTCTTTTTACAGAAAGATAGCTAAAATGCTATTTTAAAACCTGTCGTCACCAGATTTTATATGCAGTGTGTCCACTTGAGTTTGCAGCATATGGATAACTGTTTTATTATCAGTTTTACAAAAAAAAGTTATTCATTATAAGTTTCTGGTTCTTGAAAATATAATATCAAAGTAATAAAACTTGAAATAGCATGTACAGGGTGATCAAAAAATAGAAAAATATACAGAGTGTTTCCTAAGTCCGGTTCGTAGCTTCAGGACGAGATTCCTTACAATATTTTAAGAAAAAAAAATCCCATAAACATGTGTCCGGATATGCATAGTTTCTGAGATACAGAGTGTCAAAGTTTTAGAAAAAATCGTTTTTTCAGCTCAAAAATCCCTTTTCCAATTTTCCATTTTCGCAGGTTTGTTTGTGATAACAAAAGGTATCTTTTGATTGTAATATGACCTGCATAATCTGAAAAAAATATCAACAGTTTTAAAAAATAGTGATTTGCTATTTTTTTTTCTACTTTCACCGAGACTTTTACCAAAAAACCCTGTATACTTTTCTATTATCTGACCACCCTGGACATGCTATTTCAAGTTTTAATAGTTCAATACTATTTTTTCAAGAAGCACAAACTTTTATAAATAACTTTTTTTTTATAAAATTGATAATAAAAAAGTTTCCCATGTGCTGCGAACTTAAGTGGACACACCTCGGGACACACTGTATATGTATAAATAAACAAAAACAAATTATTTTTATGCATATACCCTTCCTGATAATGCAAATGCTCAGCTAAAGCAATGGTAGCGAGACTAAAGTTATACCTACACCAAAATATTTATACATTTCTAAAATGGTCCTCTGTTAATATAAATATGACAAACAATTTTATTTACATTGCCTGGCACAGACAGGCATATCAACTACTTCAGTTAATAATTGATTTAATGTAACTAGATCCTAACTTGGATCATCAAAAATGAATATAATGCGGAAACTCCGCAACGCCGGAGGCTCGACAACAGCCTCCGGTTCAGAGAATATGGGGGACACTTCTTCGGCTCACACTCAACTAGGTTTGATGCACCTGAAGAAGTTGTTTATGGAATACATGCATCCTCCACAGCCACTTTCGGATCAGGAAAAGGATGATAAGCTGTATAATATGTTGCCATTGTTTTGCAAGGTAAGAATTTAAGTGATGAGTTTAACTTTATATTTAAGTATTCTTCGTTTCTATTGTCTACTGCCTTATTTATTTTTCTCTTTTACAAATTCATTACTAATGGTAACATTTTTTCGAACCTTCCCAACTAGGTTTTCGGTTCGAGTCCATCCTGCGACATGAATGAAAAATTCTGGGACATCCTATCGTTTTGCCATCAAGTATCTCTACTCATGGTTTCGGAAATCCGTAAAAGAGCTTCAAACCAGAGCACTGAAGCCGCCAGTTCTGCCATAGCTACATTTTTAGAAATTGAAAACTGCGAAGAATCCAGCAATGGTTGGATGCTTTTGTCCACTTTAAACCTACTAGCTGCCGGGAATGCTACTTTAATACAAGTAAATAAACTATTTGTATCAAACCCTTTTTCAAATAAAAAAACTTTTTTCAGGTCATGTCTGAAGTATCAGTCCCTTCAACTTTAGTGAAATGTTTGTATATATTTTTTGATTTACCAGAAATTCCAGAAAAAGATTCCAATACCAAAGATAGTAATAGCGACTTTACACCTCATGAAAGACGTATATTGCTACAAAAGATTTTTGTTCAGGTAAATTGTTTCACACTATATTATTCAATAATTTAATTTAAATTCAAGGTATTAGTACGTTTATGTAGCCATAGAATATCAGCTGAGGAATTGGCTAAAAAAGATGATCTAACTTTATTGTTTTCTGCCATAACTTCTGCCTGTCCTCAGTATAATATTATGTGGAGGAAAAGTGCTGCAGAAGTTTTAATGACATTATCTAGGCATGGACTTACTCCACCTGTAGTTGGATATATTCACAGTAAGAATTTAAAAAAAAATTAAACGATTTTTCTAATAATATTTTACAATTTTTTTCTAGATAAATCCTGTGTAGCTCTATGTATAGAAAACATGAAAAAAGTACCTGAAATAGCTCCCTTGGAACTAGTAGAAATGTTTGTAACAGTATTTTGTTTCCTCAAAGACTCTAGTGATGTATCTTCAACATTGGTAGATGATTTCCGGCAAGCCGGAGGTTATCAGTTTTTATCTGAGTTTCTATTGAAACTCGAAAGCGAAAAATCGTCAGAAGCTCAAGAATCTATTAGAAATTTAGTCTTAATGATTACCTCCCTTTGCATGTGTGGATATATCGATTTGAAACCTTCACAAGCCTCAACTGGGTCCCTATTTCAAATGCAAGGTTTCATTCTGCCACAACCTTCTGGCAGAGGCTCTAGTGTACGAAATATACAAGCTTTTAATGTATTGCAAAACACTTTTTTGAAATCAAGCGCAACATTGGTTTGCTCTACAATTTTAGATGCCATATCCACCATATATCATTCAGACAATGCCAACTATTTCATTTTGGAAAATCAAAACACTTTGAGTCAATTCACTGAAAAAATTCATCACAAACCCCCAGAAGTGCAAAACAAATTATTCGAGCTAATTGAATTTTTGGTATTCACATTAAATTTCGTTCCTTGCAAGGAACTTATATCAATGTCCATTTTTTTGAAATCGCACAGTCTAAATCATGTGGACTGTAGCATATCGTGTATGAAAACTCTTTTGAATATACTCAAACACAATACGATTTTTAAAGATGTCTATCGTGAAGTTGGTTTGTTGGAAGTTATTGTCACTTTACTGAGTCGCTATGCCAGTTTTTTGGAAAACAAAAAAATTGCCACCGAAAAAGGCAAAGAATACAAAATGCCTGCAGGACAAGAAAAATTAGGATCCATGATTATAGAGGCCATAGTGTTGCTTTTGACTGGAAATGTATCTAATGCTACAGTGTTAAGGGAGTGTGGAGGAGCCAAGTGTGTTCACGGACTTGTTCAGTATTTGGATTGTAGGTAAGTGATGATGTTGGAGTATACAAGTGTTTCTAATTAGGGATTAGTTTCATTCTATGATGTCTTCTTTGATGTTTAGTCTGCAAAACTGTACTCATTTTTAAAAATATTTTCATAGAAATCCCTATAATTTTAGATACGCAGCTTTGGGTATCATAAAAGAATTAATCCTAACTGGTGGGGGAGATGATGATATGAGTCATCTCTTGAACACCTTACATTCCACTGCAAGAGATAATCTAAATCTGAAAATTGACATTTTGGAAGCTTTGAAGTTGTGTTTGAAGGAATCGCATAGAACCAGAACACTTTTTCGAAAGGTAGTAATAAAAACATACTTTTTTACAATGCTTAAAAATGTCTCTCTTTTATCAGGCAAATGGTTTTATCTATGTCACAAGCGTCCTAGTAGCTCTAGAAGGAAGACTAGGCAAACTGGAATCTAATCCCAGAGTAATACAATTATTGGTGCTTGTTTTCCAAACTATTTGCATAGCAATGAGATTCGAGCCAGCAAACGCCAAATTTTTCTACTATGAAGTTTGCCGTACAAGCTTTTGCGATACTTTGAAGCTTTTAGGATGTTTCACTTTGGAAAAAGTCGATAAAATCTCTAGTTCAGAATTAACTTCATCCTCCATTAACGATTACCAACAAGAATTGTTTCATGAGCTATTTGTTGGATCAGTAACAAATTTTAACATTCCTGAAGGCATATCACCTCCTCTAGCCTATACCACTATAGTCTATAGACTAATGTATGATTTAGCTTTGGACCTTTATGATAGAACCAATATGAATAATACAATGTATTCGATAAAATCACCTCCCATATCCAGACAACATAGCACTTCCGATAATGGAATGACAAAAAACAAAAGGGCAAGCGTCAATAGTTTAAATCTCAGCCCTCCATCTCCTGAACCGATAGTAGTTCATCCCGGAGTAGTTATAAATATGTTTCAACTAATGCCATGCATTTTACAAGAAACAAATCCAGAAACATCTCTTAGTCTTCAATTATATCTTGCGGAAGTCATAAAGTCACTGGTTCGCTGTGAGAGAAATCAACAAGTAATGTGTGATAAAGGCTTTGTCAGTTACATCCTAGATGTCGGTGCCATAGCTTTACAAAACGAATCTCATCCTTTACATGCCCATTTGCAATACATGTTGGAAAGATTGGCAGCTCAAGCCTTGGAATCAATCGATTTAAGGACATTTTTGCGTTTTGGAAATCCTTTAAACTGCCTGCCTTTAGGCTCTACCGAACCTGGTGGTGGGCCTGTGCCATTAACACGCATCAAAACAATAGTTTCTATGACCACACCTAAAGATTTCCGAGCTCAATTCTCTTATACTTTGCCACCGTTTATTGAATTCGACATGGCGACTGAAGGGTTCGGTTGCCTGTACCTACCAAGTATAGCACCTCAATCGCTCACAGCCACCAGTGTAGTTTCCGGAGTTGAAAGTAGTATTGTTGGAGGTATTGGTTCAGGCGACAGACTATTTCCACCTCAAACAGGGCTCACTTACTCTACATGGGTCTGTGTTGATAAATTTTCTGACCCCAGAAGCGATCCGCACGCGGTACATCTTTTGACTTTGGTTAGAAGCCAAAATGGCACAGGAAAAGACGACATCGTTTGCTTGTCTGTTGTTTTATCCACCAGGGATAAAGCTATAATAGTTTCCACTAAAGAAACTCGAATGCCAAATAATACTGTTGGCGATTGGGAGCCTGACGGCTCAGGAGAATGTGGAGCTAGAGTGTGGTACCCGGACTTATTGAAAGAAGCTCAATGGCATCATATTGTAGTTGTGCTTAATAGGGCTGTATTGAAAAATTCTTCATTTTCTTTGTACATCGATGGGCAGCAAGTGCATTCACAAAAAATGCACTATATATCACAAAATCCTGGAGGAGTTGTAAACGTTAATGCACCTGCATCAGTATATGCTTATATTGGCACTCCACCAGCTTGGCGAAGGTTCTCAAAATTATGCTGGAAACAAGGGCCTTGTCACTTGTTTGAAGAAGTCCTTACACCAGTCACAGTGTCTCAAATGTTCCAACTAGGCCCGCACTATATGGGCTCATTTTTGGCACCCTCGGTTCAACTTGTGTCTGAAGAGAAAGTTATTTTCGGTTTAAATGCCAAAGCGGTGTCTCATTTAACACTAAACAAAATCAGAAAGGTTTATAGTAGAGCTGATAACAAATCCATAGCAAAACAATTGGGCATGTCCAGTCATGAAAGTGCTACACCTATAAGAATACTACATAATTCAGCTGGTCATCTGAGTGGATCGGCAAGGACTTTAGGTGGAGTGGTTATCGGATATTTAGGTGTCCGAATGTTTTGTCCAAGACCAGTAGCAACAACAATCGACACTATCGGCGGCTGTTCGGTTTTGTTAGGACTGATAGCAATGGCCCAAGACCAAGAGACACTATATGCATCAGTCAAAGCCTTAGTTTGTGTGGTGCGCAGCAACAAAGTTGCGCAGGCTGAAATGGACAGACGCAGGAGTTACCAGACATTAGCCATGTTGCTGCGTCGTAAAAGACATTTGCTCAATTCCCACATTTTACATTTGGCTTTCGGATTAGTTGGTACAGTGGACAGTGGAAGGTGATTGTAACTTACAAGTCAGAAAAAGTATTTTTAAATAATATTTTCAGAGAATCATCTTCTATACCTAATAAAACGGCGTTTCAAGATTTATTGTGTGATCTTTTGGAAGTCTGGCATGAAGCTCCTGGTGAATTGCTGAGATCACATTTGGAGCACTTACAGGAGCTTGTTTTTGAGTCTAATGAGAAAAAATACAATACTAGAGTTATGAGGGATTTGGGTTTGGTCGAGAAGTTATTGCAAATTGCTCCAGAGGTTAAACATGTGCAAACTAGACAGGTACTCATTTCACAGTTAGTTAGTTACAATATCTTTGTGTGTGAGGCCTAAAAATAAAATAATAATTAAACTTTTTTAGGTACTTTTTTCACTGTTCACCAGTCTTTTAGGCAGCCAAACAAGAACGAATGACCTCCTACTCTTTGGACAATTTATCACGTCCACTTTACCGCACGTGCAAGCACATAATGAGAAAAATATCGTTCTAATGGACGGTGAACCTGATTGTGAACAGATTTTACTTAGAAACCGGTAATAATAGCAAAATATTTGTTTGTTTCAAAAGTCTACATCAAAGTTCCAAAAAATTCTAGGTGTTTAACTGTGCTCCATTCTCTGGTGTTCTCCACCCGCAACCAAGTCGGAGAAGATATAGCTAAAATACTGGGCTTTGATTGGTTACTGTCTTTCATGCAACCTAACATACACTCCACAAGTTGTCTATGGGCTTTTAGGATATTGGTGGCAGCTTGTTCCAGTCCTTTTTTGATTTGCCGGTAAGATCAAAGCCAAATGTATAAGTGCAGCTCCTATATATTATGGTTCATTTTCCAGATTCCGCGATGGTACGAGTAACGGTGGTTGGCTCCGGTACTCTGAACAAGTAACTCAAAGTAAAGTGGCTGTAGTTTTGGGTTGTCCCACTGCACCTCATTCACCTCTAGCTGGAAGCGAAGGCGCTAAATCGGTTAACGAGGCGCTTCACATTCCAGGATTCCAATTTCTAGGGTGGCTATTGCCAAACCATTTGGACATTCCTGAAGTATATTTCTTGTTGACTGCATTAATGATGGGCCAACCTGCCAAACTTTTACCGGCAGACACCAAATTCGATTTGGACACTGTTTGGGGATTTTTATGGGGCAGTTCTGTGAATAATCAACCAATCAATAGTGTTGTTCCAAGAATCACTCTATGTGCTGACGCTGTGGTAGTACTTTTGGGAATGATGAGAGCTTTATTGCATTCCGATTCGACTAACTTGCCAGAATGGTTGCAAGATCATACAATTTCAATTGTACAAGTACTATTCCAACTTTACCATAACATGCCTGAATTTATGCCAGTATTCATGTCTGCAGAAGTACTTGGGGCTTTGGCGAGCACTTTATTTCCGTTTCCATGCCGAGACAATAACAGTCCTGAGAGCAGTCGAGCTTCAACTCCAGAAGAAGCTTCAGATGTTATGATTGTTCCATTATCGAGATCTCCAACTGAAGAGGAACCCTTAACCAATCACCCTGCCAGGCAATTTGTGATTGATTTTATTCGAGTGATTGTTGTGGATTCATTAAGTTTATCTGCAACATCAGGAAAAGCTTCTCCAGTGATTGATTTGGTTCTAGATGCTTATCCAATTGATTCTAGTAACTCTCAGCAAGTAGCCTATCAGACAGAAGTTTTAGTAACTTTAATGGAACATCTTTTGGCTGCAGATATGTTGGTTGGTGACCAAGCAGCTATTCCAATAGTACCTTTGGCTAATGCCCATATTCAACATGTAGCTCCGAATGTGTTTTACTTAACAGCACGTATAGTAGATAAAATGTGGCAAGGGGCTCTGAACCGCGACCCCCACGAGGTTTTCGATTTTATCGTAAAATTAATTGGACAAGCCAAACGTAGAACTGGAAATTTGTCATTAGAAGGACTATATCATTGCTTAAACAGAAGCATTTTATATTTGTTGTCCCGAAATACAGAATCAATAGCTGATCAAATGTCCGTTTTGGAGGCTCTGCATAAACTTACCACCAATAGACTGATAGTTTTTGGTGCTGGAAATCATGAACTAGATTTCATTGGTTGCCTAAGTTATTGTCTATTACAATTAACAGCAGATATGCGTATAACATTGGAATCTTCAAGCACTAATAGTGCTCAACGCACTACCTGGCACGTAAATCCTGGACAAGATTTGGAAGCACGCGACGAACAATTAAACTCCCATCAAGGCCGAAATTTAATGGCAACTGCCGCCACTAGAGTATGGGAAGAACTTTACGTATGCAAAAAACCTGCTATAGAAGAGGTTTTCAAAGTTACTTTAGCACCCAACCATCCTAACGCTAAAGCTCCAGATTTAGTGGGAGTTAGAGAGCAAATTTACGATTCTGCCTTGAAACTGTGGCTGAATTACATTGAAAATGAACGCAAGGCCGCATATAAAGTCCCCTGGGAAATTCACAACCAGCTACAATCGAAAATTCATAAAGTCACTGGAGGATTGACAAGATTAGCTAGCCGCACCAAAGTCAAGAAAGACGATAATACAAGAATTCGAATTAACATTAACAAAAAGCAAGCGTTCGATTGGATGGTTAATCACGTGCAAATTATTTGCGAATTGGTCGAGTTGAGGCGACAACAACATCAAAATACTGCTCAGCATACTCAAAGGTATGTACACCAAGAATGGCTCCAAACTGAAAATGAACTAACAAGAGAACGTGGTTTATGGGGACCCATGGAACCGACTCACTTAGATAAATGGATGCTCGATATGACTGAAGGACCTCATAGAATGCGCAAGAAAACGATGAAAAACGACTTATTTTATTTGCAATATCCTTATCGTGCAGATCACGAAAAAGGCCTATTGAAATATAAGGTAGCCACAAGTTATCACAGCAAAGAACATTATCAAACTCTCCATAATAAAGGAATGAGTGGACTGTCTTTGGAACCTCCAGAAAGAACAGAAAGTGTTTCTGAAGAATTATCTCCGATGCCTTATGCGGCTTTGCCCCATTTGACTAGACTTACTTCAGATCAGGAAGATCAACAAGAAGATAATGATGTTGAAGAAGAACCTTCGCCTCCACCAGATAACCAAACACTTTTAAGACTGTTAGAACAGAACGAGAAAATATCTTACATGTTTAGAGTAGCAAGAATTCAAGGATTAGACACCACTGAAGGTTTACTGTTGTTTGGTCTAGAACATTGTTACATTGTAGATGGATTTACTGTTTTAAAAAATAGAGAAATTCGTGATATTGACAGTGTACCAAATAATGCAAACGAATATGAACCAATTTTACCAAACCCTGGTTCCCCAAGAAGATCGAGGACAATGAGGCAATGCTCTAAGTTTTCTTATGAAGACATCAGAGAAGTGCATAAAAGGCGGTATTTACTTCAACCGATGGCTTTAGAAGTATTTTCCGGAGATGGCCGCAATTATTTGTTAGCATTTTTACGGAAACAAAGGAATAAGGTTTATCAGCGCTTTATGGCCACTGCCACTGGAATTTCCGATAGCGCTCAGCAGTCAGTTGCTGGACAAAAAAGAACTGCTAATGTCGAACAAGCTACAAATCTCCTAAGCAATCTTATAGGGGAAACTAGCGTTACACAACGTTGGGTTAGAGGAGAAATTTCAAATTTCCAATATTTGATGCATCTGAACACTCTAGCTGGCAGATCTTATAATGACCTCATGCAGTATCCTGTTTTTCCATGGATATTAGCTGACTATGATTCAGAAGAACTTGATTTAAGTGATTCAAATACTTTTAGAGATTTCAGTAAGCCCATGGGAGCTCAAAGCCCTGATAGATTGGAGCAATTTAAAAAACGGTTTAAGGAATGGGACGATCCTCATGGAGAAACTCCACCTTATCATTACGGTACTCATTATTCAAGCGCCATGATTGTTTGTTCATATTTGGTGCGCTTGGAGCCTTTTACGCAACACTTTTTGCGCCTGCAAGGTGGTCATTTTGATTTAGCTGATCGCATGTTTCACTCCATTAAAGAAGCATGGACTTCGGCGTCTAAACATAACATGGCTGATGTTAAAGAATTAATTCCAGAGTTTTTCTATCTGTCAGAGTTTTTGGAGAATAGTAACCAGTTCGATTTAGGTGTGAAACAAAATGGAGTTGCTTTGGGTGATGTTGTATTGCCTCCATGGGCTAAACAAGATCCAAGGGAGTTTATTAGAGCACATAGAGAAGCTTTAGAGTGTGATTATGTGTCGCAAAATTTACACAACTGGATCGATCTTATTTTTGGTTATAAGCAACAGGGTCAGCCAGCTGTAGAGTCAGTCAACGTATTTCATCATTTGTTTTACGAAGGTAATGTGGATATCTACAATATTGATGATCCTTTGAAGAAAAATGCCACCATAGGCTTTATAAATAATTTTGGGCAAATACCTAAACAGCTATTCAAAAAACCTCATCCGTGCAAAAAAATGGGCCCCAATAATAGAGCCTCAGTAATTATTGACACTGGGTCTTTAGTGCAAGCCTTCACTTTGCCACAGCCGGATAAACTATTTTTCCACCATTTAGACAATTTAAGACCCTCGCTCCAGCCAATCAAAGAAGTTAAAGGCCCGGTAGGTCAAATATTACAAATAGAAAAGTCAGTACTAGCCGTAGAACAAAATAAAGTTCTGATGCCGCCATCTTTTGGTAAATATGTAGCGTGGGGGTTTGCTGATCATTCCATTAGAATAGGGAATTATGAGAGTGATAAGGCTGTTTTTGTTTCGGAAAATGTTGAACAAAATAACGGTGAAATATTGGCTTGTGTATGTCCAAGCCCTAAAGTCATTGTGACTGCTGGTACAGGATCTGTAGTTACGGTATGGGATTATGATTGTCGAAAAAAATCCATGAATATCAAACATCGCTTATATGCTCACACTGATGCAGTCACTTGCTTGGCTGCTAGTCCTGCTTATAATGTCATAGTATCAGGCTCTCGTGACTCTACAGCCATAATTTGGGATCTATCTCGTGGTGTCTTTGTGAGACAGCTTCGAGGTCATGCAGGACCTGTAGCGGCTGTAGCTGTCAATGAACTTACCGGAGATATAGCTACATGTGCAGCTACTTGGTTACACGTTTGGACTATAAATGGTTGTCCACTGGCCTCGGTCAATACTTGTGTAGGCCGCGCTGATCGTATGCAACAAATTTTGTGTGTGGCATTTTCACAAGCTCACGATTGGGATTCATTGAATGTCATCATAACCGGATCGACGGATGGAGTTACCAGAATGTGGTCTTTGGATTACGTTCAAGTGCCCATAGAAGAAGAAAAAATTATTATTACGGTCAACAATGAAATTAATCCTGCCAGACATAAATTGGCCAGAGATGCTAATGTGGTGTCTCACGATAATAATTCGAGGAATTTGATGAAGTCTGGATCTGAAAGTAGTATTTCTGGTGATAAAGTTAAAATTGATACTGTAATTGTGTCGTGCGAGGGCAGCGCTAAAGAATGGCAACGTGGACAACAAGAAGAAAAGGAAACTTGTAGTGATGGTGAGGAACCGACAGTTCCGCCAGTTGCTCCGGTTAGAAGAAGACGGTCTAGAGTTCATGCAGGATTCAGAAGTGAAGGTAATTCCTGTTTTTGAGCATGAAGAAATATTAATAAAATTACGACGGATTGTTTCTTGAGCATATTTAGATTTATTAATTTTTTGGGGTTGGAAGATCTTTTTTAGTAGCAATTGAACCCAAACTTGCTCAAGCAAATATTATGTCATGTCAGGCCTTATATTTTAATGTGTTTATAGGTGGACACAGTACAGATAGTGCAAGTTTGGATGTTGAGGATTCAGGTTTAAGAACAAGCAAATCTGATACCAGTCTAACTGACTCATTTGTGATGGTGGATAATAATCAGAAAAAGAGCCAAAATCCAATGAATAATTTACGACCAGGTTGGTAATTTGATGCTTTATTGGTTTAAATTTGAATAACTAATGGATATTTTAGGTTTTAAATGGCAAAGACAGCTAGTTTTCAGGAGTAAACTCACTATGCACACAGCGTATGATCGCAAAGATAATACTGAACCAGCTTCAATATCTGCTTTGGCTGTTTCAAAGTGAGTTCATTTTTGTGTGTGTGACTGGACCAACAATTTTGTTATTTAAACATTTTTAGGGATCATCGCGTATTTTTCGTTGGCGACACCAGAGGGCGTGTATTTTCGTGGTCAGTATCCGACATAGTTGGACGTGCCGCAGATCATTGGCTGAAAGATGAAGGAGCTGAAACTTGCGCCAACTGTAATGTCAAATTTAACATTTACGAAAGACGGCATCATTGTAGAAATTGTGGTCAGGTAATTATTTTCAAAACAATTTGAAGAAAAGGTAAAACTTTTTGATTTTATTGCAGGTGTTCTGCTCTCGATGTTCGCGCTTTGAAAGTGAAATTTCGAGATTGCGTATACTGAAGCCTGTACGGGTATGCCAAAATTGTTACGCCTCCTTAAAAGGGGAACACAAATAATTTTCTATATTTATTATGTTGATCCGACCTGGTACAATAATAGACGTAGCCTCTTGAGAACGATGTTGTAAAGATTCAATTACAAAATCAGAAATAATTGAGTTTGTTTTTAAAGTCAATATTTGTCTTCTCAGGAAAATTTTCCATAATTCAATCTTGTATACAACAAACGCCTTCCACTAAGCAAAAATTAACATTGCAATTCTGCACACTCCTAGTTACCAGTGAAATAATTTTCGCATTTTTCAGTCTGTCCTCAGAAAAAAGGGCCGATTCTGATATAGAGATATTTAATGCCACCTTAAGACCAAATAGTTTCAGTTATTTTGAATTAGCCAAAAACTCACTTTCGATACATTTCAGATTAGTATTATTTTTGTACCATCTGTACTTCTCATATACATATAAATCCATATACGCAAAATTACTTTTTTTTAACACTCAGACAATAACCTTAATTAGGGCTTGTTGTGATACACAGACAAATTCGATTGTAGTTGGTAAGATTAAAAACCTATTGTTCATTTCACATATTTTTCTTGTGAAATTATTTTACCAATATTAATTCTCAATATGTTATTTTTGCTTGGAGGAACTTATTTCATATTAAATGTCTTTTCACAACAAATTTTGAATTAAATATTTATAACGTTTCGTTCTAATGTAACCTAAGTAGCAATGAATGTGTATTATTTTAATGATGTTTCTTGCAAGTAAAAGAAACATCGTATGCTCTGTGTAGCTGTACAAAATATATACCCCAAAAAAATATTTACATACATATTATATATTTTGTAGTGAATACCAGATTATTGTTATCAACTATCGTATATAGTGTATAATAATTATTATGTATTAGTATACAATAACACATTGGAATACTCACAAAAAAAATACCGTTTTTATTTTGTGAAAAAAATTATTTTTGCTTTAACACTACTTAAAACAAAATGAATTCCTATTGCTGACCTCGTCATTGTTGTAGTTTTACGTAGATTTCGCCTATCCTGCTCACCGAGCCTAGAATAGGTAATTGATTATTTTTATCATTATTTAATGAATGTATTTTACCATATACGTAATTATAATCTATCAAACGCACAGTGATCAAGATTAACAGCAGAGATTCAATTTTAAATTTGTGTCAATTTTTTTTCCACCCCGTGAAATATGTTGGCACAATATTTTTGTTAGATACTAAGTGCAATATTTCAACTTTATTGTTTGTTTTTTTTTTATATACATCTTATTTATCAATTTAATTTATTAATACGTATTGTTTTTATTGTGATATAATTTTAGCTGATAATTTTATTGTTATTGTTATACTTCTTTGTTTTATATTATTATTATTTTAATATATTCTTTTTTACCCCAAAAATTTGATTTTTACTAATTATAGTTTATTTTTTAATGACTTTGTACGAAAAATCACACCCACCAAAATAACACTGCAAGGGGTTTAATCCCTTAAACCCCTTGAAGTGAGACCCAACACTTTGATTAGCCTCATAGGTACAGGGTATTTGATTATATTTGAGCTCATACCTACAGCCTTTACTATTTAAGATAGAAAAAAAATTAAATATAAAACTTGACAGTTTAACAAAAACAAAATCGCATTGTAAAATGGTGGACAACTTCGTCTTTTTTTTTATGAAACACCCTGTATATTATGCGATAGAATGAAAGATCCTTTCTTCCAGATTTCAAATATATACAGGGTGACCCGGATAAGGTGCACTCTACAGGGATCTCCGTAACCATAGAAGATACAGGGTTGGTTAAAAAGTTGCACATTACCGAGCTCAGTGGCGTTATGTTTTAATATTTTGGAAATTCCGAAGATATCTATAAAAAAACAAATTTTGCCGAAATCGTTTGAATTTTTTTCTGACTCTATTTGAAATGATATCGCAAAATAGATGTCACTTCATGGTTGCTATTTTTTCTCCTCTACAACCCAGATAAATCCGTAAGACATCCACTGGATGTTCGGCGGACGACCCAACAAAAATACTTGAATGTCCAGTGGGCATCCAAATCTGATTCAAAGGATATCCCATCGACATCCACTGGCTATCCAGTTGGCACAGCTCTGAATCATTCCTGAATGTCCATGGGGCACCGCTCAAGCATATGGATGTCCATAAGGCATCCATTTATAGGTCATTCATTATTCATTTACTACGTTTGAACATTGTATGTGATCTGTGACGTCGCACCAAGTCAATAATTTAAAACAATATATGAGACTATGATATATGTATAGGTAGTATAAAAAAAAAAACAAATTTAAAAAAAAATACACTTTTTGATGAAAAACACTGATGAAATGAATGTTAAAATTGGTCATCAAGATACTCTGAAACACTATAATAGGGTCCCTCCGATAGCAATGCCTTCACTGTAGATCTGATTTTTTTTTTCAAATTGAATATTCCTGATTTCGAGAAGCAATTTATTAAATAATTGTCTAGTGGCAAATATTAAAGATTTTTTTATTTGTGAAGAGACAGGTATCGGCAGGTCTACACTGGACATTCTCCGTGTATTGTAGTTGACTTGTCAGTATATTGTCCCTATACTTCCTTATGAGGCACACCTACTCCAGACAGCGTTAGCGTGCCCTACAAACAGTTGCCTAAAAGAGTTACGGCGCGATACTTTGCACATAAATATCACTGCCCTTTTTTGTAGTACAAAGACACTATTAAATAAACCCCTCGTACATGAACCCCAAAAACAAATTCCGTATCGTAAGTGAGATTCGATTAGTGCACAGTAAACATTCCTCACAATGAGCAAATCTAGCTCAATCGGAACCATCCTGATAGCATAAGAATTTCTTGATAATACGGAGTTTAGATTCCTAATATGTGCATCAAAATTCAATTTACTGTCTATAAAAATTCCCAAAAATCTATTTTCATTCAAGTTAGCTAACATATTATTGCCTAAACCTACATTCCCTATCTCACATCTGAAACTCATGATGTTTGTTTCTGATATATTCAATGTTAAATTGTCAGCATCACACCATTCCCTTATCTTTAAAACATCACTACCAACCTTTGTTAACTCTGGGTCACAATTACCGTGCCAAAGAATGGTAGTATCATCCGCGAATATTGTTAGGCGGCCAGAGATGTCAAGGTAAGCAAAATCATTGTCATAAATCACAAAAAGGAGAGGACCCAGAACTGAACCCTGAGCCATAATGAAATTCTTTTCGCTCGAACGAAATACCATATTAAAGCTGCCACCTGCCACTCTAATACCTGTTACTTGAGTAGCTCTCAAACTACTTCAGAGCGACTCCCCTGAACCCATAAGCCTCCAGTTTCCACAGTAATAGTGAATATTGTTGGAAGCGTTAGTGCGCACTGAGTGTATTCGTGTCTTTTTCTACCATCTTGTATAAGAAAGGCAATTCGCTATAATAGAGTATTGTTTGGCGCTCAGGTCGACTGCTATGGACCGTTTGGCGGTAAAGTTTTTGAAATTGTAAACATTACCGGATTAGTGACGTAATTGTGCGATTTCCCGGATCATCACATGTGCAGCTAAAATTATTAGAAATTCATGAAAACTTACACGCCAAATTACACCTATCACCAACTATCGTACAATTTTACCCAGGTTTTTGCTAGATAGCTTTTCAGCAATTTTATTATACTAAATTCTGCCTTGGGGGTGCTGTTACGTCATGACAATCTGACCAACAGCAGCGATCTACAAAAATTGGGCCAAAGGGTCGCCGCTAGGGTGTTAGCGGCCTGTGTGCCCAGACAATTTTCGCCGCCTTACTCCCATCTAAAGTACAAAACTTTAACATATGAGGACCGTGGTAAAGACAAAGAAAGAACCACACAAAAGGGAGACGTGCATCTATAGGGATGTCACCATCGATGTCACAAAGGTATCGGCGCTTGACAATAATAGTTTATAATCCTTGGTTTGTGCGTCAATCGTTCATCGGCTGTCATTGTCATTGGCTATCTCTCTCCGTCCCTCTACGTTTTTTTTTTTCTCTCTCGTGTAACGAAATTTGACGCGTCTTTCGGATCACTTTCCATTCTTGTCCAAATATCAGACCGCCGTTTGGTTTGAGAAGTTCCACTTCAAAAAATCGAGTTTTCATAACTTCGATTGCTCGGTAACCATTGAGCAAATTGCATTGAAAATTTCAGCATTTGTAGCTCTTATTAGACTCTTAATGGCCTGTAATTAACAATATTCCCAGATTTATAGTTTTTGAGCAAATTGAGTTTGAAGTTTTTGGAAAAATTTGAACTAGAAGTCAACTTTGAACTTCAATTGCTCAAAAACTATCAAATTCAATTTTGCACGAATTTATAGAGAATGTAATTCTCTTTCCAACGATATATAATTTTTATTTGAATTTGTTTGAAATTTAACAAAGATATGTGCAATTTAGGCAGAATTCCATTAAAATTATGAGAAATGTTAAAGAAATTATGCGAAATTATATTGGAATTATGTGAAATTTGATACAAATTATGCGAAAATATATTGTAATTTCTTTTGGAATTTTTAGTTATGACATGGAATTCCATTTAATTTCAATAAAATATCTGTGAAATTTCAAAAAATGTAAAATTTAAGGAAAATTATATAGAAGTTATGTGGAATTCCATAGTAATTATGCGGAATTCCCTAAAATTTACGCGGAATTCCATTGAAATTACATAAAATTTCAAATAGGTATACTAAATTCTATCAAAATTATGCGGAATTCTAGTGAAATTGAAGAAGTAAAGACGTGGAATTCCAAAGAAAAATACTTCATTTTAGAAAAATTACATGGAATTCTATAGGAATTTTGCGAAATTTTATAGAAATTATGCGAACATTTATAAAAATTGAATGGAATTCTGGAAAGATAGCGTAGAATTCCAAAAAAAAATCGTTGAGTTTCAATTAAATTACATACATTAAAACCCATAGAAATTACGTGGAATTCCATAAAAAAAATATGCAAAATTCAATAAAAACTATGCGAAATCCCGTAGAAACTATGAGGAATTCCATTAAAATTATGCTGAATACCATGCTCAATTTCATACAAAGTATGCAGAATTTCATTGTAAATATGCAAAATCCCAGTAAAATTGTGCAGAATTCTAGTGAAATTGAATGGAAAACGACATAGAATTCCAAAAAAAGCGTTGAGTTTAAAAAAAAACAAAATCCCATAAAATTTATGTGGATTTAAGTTGTAAGGAATGCTATAAAAATTATGGAGAATTTCATAGAAACTATGCAAAAGTCCAAAGAATTTCTGCGGAATTCTATAGAAAATATACAATATTCTATAAAAACTGTGCAACTGAAATTATGAGGAATTACGTGAAAATTATGCGGAATTACGTGAAAATTATGCGGAATTTCATAAAAATTGTGTGCAATTAAATAAAATTCCAATAAAATTTAATAAAATTTCAGAGATACGACGTAGAATTTCAAACGAAAATATGTGGAATTTCTCTGGAATTTCGGTAAAATTATGAAATTCCGATGAAATTCCATTATTTTCCTGGAGTTCCAATAAGTAATTTCTCCAAGATTTTAAATTATTCTCTTTAAATAATCTAATATTTAAAATTCCTGTGAATTTCCGAGGAATTGCTGTGAAATTTTTTGAATAACAGAACATTTCCTTGAAATTACATGGATTTTTAGTAGAATTCCAATTACGAGGAATTCTGGTGTACATACAATTTTTTTTGTTTTTAAATTTACTAAAAATAGTTATTTATGCAACAAGTGTGTAAAGTGAACGTTTCTTCACGAATGTGAATTTTGACGCACGAGCCGAAGGCGAGTGCGACAATCACATGAGTGAAAGTTGCTTTAGGCACGTATTGTATACAAAACTTTTTCTACTACCAATGAAATATGTGTGAAAAAATAGATTTAGAAAAATACTTTACGCACTAGTGCGTCGCCGATAATTTTCCACTAATAAGTAATAAGCTACTAACAACTTAATCAAATATAAAAATCCTATGCAATTATTTGGGATTCCAGTGGAATTACGTGGAAATCCGATGGAATTTCATTAAATTTTCTGGAATTCTAGAAAATTTCTGTAAAAATTACATGAGATTCTCGTAAAATGTTAAATAATTCTTGTGAAATTATTTGGAAGTTCAGTAAATGCCGATGAAATTATGTGGAATTTCGAAAAAATGCCAATCAAATTCCATCTATTTCCGGAAATTCCACGTAATTCTCCCGGAATTCCTTTCATGCAACTTTAAAAAATTCTTGTGAAATTATTTAGAATTATAGTGGAATTACGTGGAACTCCGGTGAAATTATGTGATACTACGAAAGACTTACGACGGAATTTTCCGAGTACTCGACTCAATGCCTCCGGAATTTTAAGTAATTCTCGTGAAATTCCAGAAAATTTCCATGAAATTTCAAAATATTTAAGTACGTAAAATTACGTGGAATTTTCGGTAAATTTCAAAATAAAATCCTCTAGAATTACAGAGAATCTTTGTAAAATTCCAAAAAACAAAAAAAAAAACCCCGTTACTGGTGATTTCAGTGGAATTTCAAAGAATTTCTATGGTATCACTTGGAATTCTCGAAAATTGAAAGAAAAAATCGCAAAAATATCCATAAAATTACATAAAATTCTTGTGAAATTATTCAAATTTCTTATTGAATTCTCAAGAATTCTTGTGAAATTACATGGAATTCCTGTGGAATAACTCAAAATTTAAGTGAAATTCTGAAATAATATGAAATTCTTGTGAAATTCCTGTAGAGTAAATCGGAATTTTAGTGGAATTTAAAAAAAAATGTGAAATTCCAGAAAGTTTCTTTGAAGTTGTTTGGAATTCCCCTGCAGAATAACTAGAAATTCCATAAAATTCCATGAAATAATGTATGTACTTGAAATTTCATTGAAATTCCGAAAAAATCCTGTAAAACTACTCGAAAATCCAAAAAATTCTTTTGAAATTTCTTAGGTAATTTTACTGAAATAAAATTACTTGAACTCCTGAAATTATTTGGAATTCTAGCAAAAGTTCTCGTGAAATTCCAGAAAATTTACAAGAAACTACGAACTATGAAATTCCAAATAAAAATCGTGAAAATTATTTTTTAAATTTCAGCAAAATTCCAAGGAATTTTTATGAAATAATTCAGAATTTCAAACAAATTTACGTGAAATGACCTGAAATACTAATAAACTATCAAAAAGTAATTTGTGAAATTACATGGAATTCCAAAAAATTTCTGTGAAAATACAGAAAATTTCTTTGAAACTAATTGAATTTTTAGTGGAATTCCGAATAATTTTTAGAGAATTCTGGTTTTCAATTTATGAACATTCTATGAACATTCCTGGAAAATTCTATAATAAGAATTTCAGTGAAATTCTGAAAAATTCTTGTAAAATTACACGAAATTCTCATGAAATATCAGAAAATTCCTATGAACATTCCTGAAACATTCTACGGACATTCTTTAAACATTCCCCGAATATTTTTCAAAAATTTTCCGAAAAAAAACATGTTGAAATATTCCTGGAACATTCTATAAACAATCTTGGAACATTTTATAAACATTTCTAAAATATACACTGCCAATTTTTTTTTTAAAAAAAAAGCATGTTGAAACATTTCTGGAACATTTTTGGAACATTTTATAAACATTCCTAAAATAGACGAATTATTTCAAAAATATATTGTAATATTTTTGTCTTGATGGGACATTCTACGAACATTCCATATAAAGATTCCTGGAAGGGTACCCCCTTTGAATTCTAATTTCAAAATATTCAAACCTCAATTGCTCGGTAACCGTTGAGCAAATTGCATTGAAATTTTCAGCATGTGTAGCTCTTATTAACGCTCTAAATGGCCTGTAATTTACATTTACCAGATTTATAGCTTTTGAGCAAATTCAGGTTGAAGTTTTTGACAAAATTTGGACCAAAAGTCAACTTTGAGGGTCAATTGCTCAAAAACTATTTGAGCTAGCAAACTCAAGTTTGCACGGCTTTATAGAGAATGAATTGCTCTTCTCAATGCTATATAATTTATTTTGATTTGCTTGAATTTTAACAAAGATATGGGTTTATTTGTTTAAGAGGTTTATTTTCAATAAAACTTGATGGGTATAATTTATTTTGAAGTGAAAACTTCTTAGGCAGCGATCTGATAATTGGACGAGAATGGACAGTGATTTGAAAGACTCGTTACGTTTTGGGGAATTTCATTACACAATAGGAAGAAAGATATAATGTAGAGAGACTGAGAAAAACAGCTTATGATAATGACAGTCGACGAACGATTCAGCTTATAATAATGACAGTCGACGAACGATTGACACAAACCAAGGAGGATTGCCTATTATTGTCAAGCGCTGATACCCTTGTGACGTCACTACAGATGCGTGACTTACTTTTGTGTTTTCTTCCGTCTTTACCCCGACTCAGACGGTGTCTAAACGTTGTATGCGAGGTTATAATTTTTAAGAAGTTTCACTTCTACCACGTATACGGCGCTGCACATGATTTTTGTTTGCATTAAGATCGGTGGCGGCAACCCTTTTCAATCGGCCACCTGTGTGTTTTGAGCATAGCGCACACATGGTAGCGGCGGCTTTGCAAAGGTATTTGGAAAAAATACTATTATCAATTTAGTTTTTTTTTATTATACAATAAGTTAAAGATACACAATATTGCGACAAAAAAGTATCTGTGCGTGCCAAAAATTACGCTTCATAACGGTTGTATATCTTTAAAACAGTATATTTTCGTAATAAATGGTTTTAAAACTAAAAACATGAGTATTCTTTAGCGTAGGTATACATTTAATTACAAGAAGCTATACTTTCTAAAAAAAAAAATAATTTACAAGCGAAATTCGTAATTCTTTTTGTGTGAGAAACTATCAATTTAAATAGCAACAATTGTCATTGTTTGTGTCAAAAGAATGTTTGAAATCGCTTCATTTCTGACTGAGGCGGAGCTATTTTTTTTTTTAATATATCACAGACTGACATAGCAAATAAACATGTAAAATATTGGATAAAAGACATCAATGAAACAACTACTATCAAAATTATCGATTTTGAATGTAGTTGAAACAAAAAGTCCTACTATTACTAATGAACTTAAAAATACGCGCTACGTTTTGCAAATATAAGACATATATACACCATTAAAAACTATTTTACGTATACTGGAAGATAAAACTTTATTAATTATTTAAAGAGGCACAGTGTACCTAGTTCTCTAAATAAATAATTATTCAATTGAAGGTCTGATTGTTAAACCTATAATAATTATTAACCCACTACTACATCTTGAAGAACTTTTCAGTTATGGATGGAAATTTTACATATTTTTTTTTTAAATATAACATTAATAAATTAATAATTTGAAGGCCTTAAAGCTATTTATTGTAATGCTGTTTGTTACGTATATAAGTTTCAATTAGTATACTTTTAGATGGATATTATCGGTCAGTGTACTCAAAAAATATAACTAAAAAAAAATTATTTGTACTATAAAAATCGTATACAAAGTAAATAATATTATTTGATCACAAAGTTACGTATACATACCTAAATAACTGCTCAGGAATAATTAAATTTGGAACAAGCTGTTTTAGACTATCTCCTCATTTTCTCAAAAACTACTGATGATGATTATACTAATTGTTATTGAAGACCGGACTTAATACTGATCATAATATGGTTCAGTTGTCTAGAGCTCGTGAATTTTTAAGGTGTAAATAATGTCCATAAGCTGGTTATTTTACAAAATGTTTCTCAATAATTGTTCAATGGCTGTAGTATTCTACAGAACACAAAATGTATTGCTTAACAAAAAGAAAACGCATTTCTGTGTAGACGACACTTGTTTGTTTTTGAGTACGCCAGACCAATTACAAATACCTTAAACCTAATTAATTTTTCCATTTATAATTTGACAGGTAAATATTCTTATTTATTTTTAAACATTACACTTAGGCGAACATTATTTTTAATGTAGGTATGTATATTCAAAAACTAAGTATACATTATAAAACATTTTCATTTTGGAGAAAAAAATAAAGAAGATAGAAGAACTTTTTTTTACAACTATCTTACTTTGTCATATTATTATTCAACAACCATGTCATTATAAGCCCTAGATGGTCTTAAAACAATGTTAAGTCTATTGGTAATTTAATTTAAAATATTTTAGCCTAATAACGGTATAGTATCCTTGAAAGATCGTTACGTATATAAAGGAATGGTAGATAGTTCTAGATTAGTTGGTAATTTGAAGAGTCCTTTGGGAAATTAGCTTTTCGTAGTGTAAATTTGATTTTAGAATGACAAGTATTTGGAATAGAATTCGATGAATTCGAAGTTTTTTTTAAGCCATAGTATCTATTTTCCAGGCCTTCCGAATATCAGGAAGAAAATAAGAAACACTGAAGTTTTGGCAATTCAATGATCAATCATCCTCAGCCTTCACTGAGAACTGCCCACTTTTAATAACCTGCGAAAGCTAGAATAGAATTCAACAAAGCCAGAAGAACTTGCCAATGGGATACATATAGAGCCACATTGAATAAGTTCAAGAAAGAGCTGAGAGGATCCAAGAGAAGGTCTTGGAGTGAATATTATAATAAACTGATTTAGGATTTTTTTTTCCTGTGTTTTAATAACTCCTATGAAAAAGCTGTAAATTCAATCAACTCATTTTTCATTGGTAAGATCCTCTTCAAAGGTGCACTTTCACACCTTTCAATATTTGTTAGAGACACTGAGCAATTAGAAAAGATAACTTCCCATCACAAAACTCACAAAGTTTTCATTGAATTATCACCAGGAATTATTTTTAAAAATAGTCCATAACGTATACATATCACTATAATTAATATACACATAATTATAATACTGAATGAGCATATTTCTCTTTAAATAATCGTAAACAAATTTTGCGTATACATACACATCAACAGACAATACAGAAAAAGTAACTTATCAAATATGTATTAATATTATCTTACTTAATATTTTATGGATTTATTTATGCGGAGTGGTTTAGTTTGGACAAAATGGTTTTGGTACGACATATGGCAGGATGAAATAACATGTTATTTCGTGACTATTTTACGTATACTATTGGAGGTAAAAATATTTTGAACATATAAAAGCTTGCTTGCTTCATGAACTTTACTTTTCTCTGTAAACTCAACCTTGTCAAATTATTTCAAATTATTACTATCCAAATCAAGCAAGCTAATTTATGTAAATCACATGAGAAGTTTTATTTCCGACAACTACTGGCTTATTTCTTGTCCAAAGTGGCACCCGTTTCAAATACTGAGGTATATTATTACGTATACAAGTTTCAACTGCGAAAGAGGAATGTTTTTTGACAATGAAGAATCAGCCTTACGATAATGAATGTGAAAGTGTTTTTTGGAATGTTTTTTGTATCAAATAAATTGGATCATCGGAACCAAAAATAATAATAATTAATGATATGAGTTACACTTAAAGTTTAAAATTTTTGTTATTATTGCTGTAACACCTACAAAAAATTTTATTGCCTTATTAGGTCCAATGGCAACTATATGAAAAAATTAACTCAATCACTTTTCTTTTAGAAAGCTTCATCTTACCTATGATAAAATCATTATTATTAAATAGAAATTATTATTAAAAAATGCTCACCATTAAGGAACACAATACATTTCTTTTGGCTTTTGCACATATTATTCCCGGTTTTTTAGATAATTCTACGGCCTGGATGGTTCCGCGTCTCCGTTACCATACACCGCCGCAATATTGCTGTCTGCCTGATGGCCGTTTTGGTTAACTTCGTTCGGTTGCGCCGGAGCATCTATTATCACCAGGCCGCCCCCTTCTTCGTCGCTACTATATGAATCACCTTCGTCATCTGAACTCGAGAGGATTCCTGAAAGAAATCATAACATTGACTTGTACAGTTTTGAAGCTCCAGAATGTTAATTTTCAGTATTGTGTTCAGATTAACGGTGATTAGAAATCAATCGTGCTCGTTCACCTTTGTGGTATCAGTGGACATTTCCCCATGTTGCGATATTACAGAGATACCACCAAGCGAGTTTTTCTGTAATATAGCAACTGGGTGAAAGGTACTAAGGTATCAGTATGAGTCTGGCATATCAGTTTCCAAGAATTTTCTCACTGAGAAGGTGTGGTTTATACACTGTGGTCCGTAATAAAGAAGTACATTTTTTAATTCAAAATTATTTCAAGATACTAAGAAGGAAATTAGACATCGAGTTAAGCCTGAGGGTTTGAATATTACAAGGTTTCGTCAAGCCTCAAATGTGGTTGTAATTATAGGCAGTGAGAATTGCGAGCATGTTGCGTCACTAAAGGAACAAATTGAAAGAAAATTAGGCAATAACTATACTGTTGAGGTCCCAGCTAAAAAAAACCAAAGCTGAAAATTGTAAATGTAAATAGCTTCGATATCAGTCTCGAAGATGACGAGGACGAAATCATAGAGAATATAATAAAGTGGAATAACATAAAGACGGATGGTTGTTACATGAAAATTTTGAAAAAATCAGAAAATAGATATAAAAATGTGGACTTAATTGTGGAAGCTGACTCAAAAACCCACAGCATTTTGCTTAATCAAGGTCGTGTGCACATTGGATGATCCAGGGCTGCTGTTTTTAATCATATAAGTGTCCTGCAATGCTACAAATGTATGGGCTATAATCATTATGCTAAGGATTGCAAAGTGGAATCTCCAGTGTGTTCAAAGTGTGCCGGTAATCATGCATATACAGAATGTGAAGCAACAGGGGCACTGAAATGTCTGAATTGTATTAACAAAAATAAAAATGGCAACAATATGAAACTAGACACAGCCCATTCAGCTTTAGATTGGAAGTGTCCTGTCAGAGAAGGCATTATTCAGGAGATCAACAGAAAGGTGGACTATTTTACCCAAACAGATAAAGACTAATATTTATTCCACAATAACAAGAAAACATGCAAAAAAGACTCTCTTAAATCTTGCTCATCTAAACCTGAGGTCGATTTTCACTGGTTTTCTCGAATTCAAGAATTTGGTACAAACTAAGGATCTTGACATCATTGGTGTGACAGAAACTTGGTTGAAGAACAATACAGCATCCGAAGTAGTGGCCATTCCGGGATATAGGTTTTATAGGCAAGACCGAGCGATGGGAAGAGGAGGTGGTATAGGTTTATATGTGAAATCTGAACTGCAATGTGAGTATATACAATTGTCAACTCGGCCAACTATTCCAGGGTTTGAATATTTATGGATAAGAATTAAATTATGTAACAATAACACAATGGCTGTTGGTGTCATATACCGTACGGGTAATAATGTTTTAGCCTGTGTTGAAACACTGGATATATTCTTGCCTGAAATTCTACCTGTAGATAATTATATTATAGTTCTTGGGGATTTAAATGTTAACATGTTTAATATTTTATTTACGACTAATGTATAATGTGCGTATTATATTTGTGATTTTGGCAGTATAATGACATATGTTATTCCTCCAGGGATCAATGACGAGTAGCGGGATTAATGGTCATTATTCCACAAAAGTGTCAGTGTCAAACGTGTAGTGCTTGTGGATTTGTATTGAAAATGATGAGACGGATGAAATTTGTTCATTGAAAATCTCAAATAAATTAATTTGTCGTAAATAAAGTAGAGTATACTACTCGCAATAATGGCTATTATTCCCTCGGAATGTTACTCCATCGCCGCTGACGCGGCTCAGTTCGTAATAATCCTCGGGAATAATAGCTATCATTATTGACTCGTGGTATAATCTACTATTAAACCCTGTTAGCCAATTATTTGATAGTTTCGGGTTCTCCCAAATTATTGATGAGCCAACTAGGATTTGCAATCAAACAGCTACATTATTGGACCCAATTTTTGTTAATACTAGAGATATAGTTGCGGCTTGCGGTACAATTGATGCAAGCAGCATAAGTGATCATATGTTAACATATTGCGACATAAAAATTCAAAGTCAGAAAAAGAGTCCAAAACTAGTAACCTTTAAGGGCCCCACAGACTGCGTTTTTGTTGGACGGTTTTGTTCGACGAGCAAATCAGGTCGAGCAAAAACGACGCAAAACCGAAGTGTGTGTGCGAAAAATTGTCGTTTTTGCTGGCATACAAAACCGATGCAAATATCTGGATCCGCCTCATTTTGTCCGTCGGATATGTTCGATATGTCAACAAATCTGAAGTGTGTGGGCTACGAATTTTAAAAACGACGGTTTTATGTGGTGTGTGGTGCGTAGCTACAGAATTTTATGTTTAAAAACTTTTCAATATGACTGATCTTCGCCAAACTAAACCGAGGTCTGTGGGCAACTCCGATCCGTCGTTTTTGCTCGACCAGATTTGCTCGTCGAACAAAACCGTCAAACAAAAACGCAATCTGTGGGGGCCTTTAGAGATTTCAAATATTTTGATAATCAATTGTTCTTGGATGATTTAGGGCGCTTCCAATGGGATGATTTGTATTATTTTGGTGATATAGATGATAAGATTAATTTTATGACTGAAAATCTAAGGGAGTTATTCTCAATACATGCTCCCTGTAGGACTGTCAGGGCAACCAAGCCACCTGCCCCTTGGTTAACAACAGCAATCAAACACTTAATGAAGGAAAGGAACAATGCTAAAGTTAGGGTCAAAGCAAGTAATACTTTAGAAAATCGTAACTATTATAAAAGCCTAAGAAATTTGACAAAGGCTGCTATTCGCCGTGAAAAAGTAGCATATTTAACTTTTATTGAGGGTCAACACAATGCTCGTAAACTGTGGAAAACACTGCAAGATTTTCAATTACTCTGGTGAGTCCAAGTGTTGTATATAAAAACTTTGCCAGTATTAAGTCTAATGCAGCAGGAAGTGATGACTTAACACTCTTCATGCTCAAGTTGTGCCTCCCCATAATTGTAAATCATGTTACCCACATTCAGTGGCTACTCCAGTCCCCAAAGTGAAAAACCCTGTTGGTGTCACTGACTTGCGCCCAATTAGTTTGCTACCAGTTTTGTCTAAGGTTTTGGAAAGGGTTGTCCAACTACAAGCTTCAAATTTTTTGAAGAATAACAGTTTGGTTCAAATCCATCAGTCTGGTTTCATAGAAGGCCGTAGCACAACATCGGCTTTATTCAATATCACCGACAACATTGTTCGAGCGCTAGATGAAAAACAGGCATCCATACTGGTGCTTCTGGACTATTCAAAGGCCTTTGAACTGATCGACCATGACCTATTGTGTGCCAAACTGTCTTTTTATGGGTTCGATGAGATTTCTACTTCATTCTTTAGGTCCTATTTATACAATAGATCCCAAGTTGTGCGAATTAAAGATAATCTCTCACAACCTCGAACTGTGATTTCTGGAGTACCCCAGGGGTCCATTCTTGGTCCCCTGCTTTTTGTTATCTATACATCTGATATCTCCTCGTTGGTCTCAAACTCTCATTTGCAAGCATATGCCGACGACACCCAGCTTCTATTAAATTTTGATCCCTTATACCCTGAAAATGCTGCAATGGAGTTAAACCAGGACTTGGAGAGAGTTGTAAAGTTTTCCACAGAACATAATCTTAAAATTAACCCTAAAAAGACAGAAGTTCCTCTTTTCTGTTCCGGAAGACTGAGACTTTCTGACTGATCGTTTGAAAATACAGATTGGCACTGATGTTATTGGTTTTTCCAACTGTGCCAAAAATCTGGGATTACACCTGGATGTTCATCTAAGGTTTCATAAACATGTACAAAGTTTGCTGCAAAATAGTTATATTAAGATGGAGCTCCTATATACAAGCAGGTACATATTTATTTTTCTATGTTGGTGTCATATCGAAGTCTTTTCGACACTAAAAGTAGTTTCGAAAAGAAGCTCTTTGTGACACTTCTTTTTTACTTATTGGAGGTTGCTGACACTGGCTGACTGATGGCCATCGAACTTTCATTCGCGATTTTATAATAGAAGATTTCTATATTTGGCATATAATGTTACCAACCTAAATATATGAAATCGAAATATGAGAATAAAATTTCTAAGAAAAATTTGTTTTTTTTAATTAAACAATACCAAAATAGAAAAAATAGTATAAAATATTCGTTTCATAAGACATTTTATCGCACTCGCCCTTTAGAAAACTCGCCTCCGGCTCGTTTTCTAATATAGGGCTCGTGCGATAAAATGACGTCTTATGAAACTTGTATTTTAATGTACTATTTTAAAATGAGAAAAAAATTGTGTGAAGCACTTGTATTATCAATTTTTAACTATTGTTTTATAGTGTACTATCCATTTCTAGATTTAGTCACTAAAAAAAGAATCCAATATGTACAAAATACATGTTGTAGGTTTGTTTTTAGTTTAAGGAAATATGATTCTGTGTCAGTTAATATTAAACGGATTGGTTATTTGGTTGGCTGAAATGTGATAATATGTATAAATTATATTCATTGATTTTCTTTAAAAAATTATTAGATTGTAAGGAGCCTGTATATTTGTATAAAAAAATAGAGTGTAGGGCTGATGCACATAATGTTCATAGTTTAAACTTAAGAAATGGTACAACTTTCACAGTGCCTAAACACAGAACTTCGCTATTTCAGAGAAGTTTCTCTTATTGTATGGTAAAACTGTTGAACTCAGTTAATTTGCCATTAAGAGAATACAGTGTATATAAACTGAGACTAGAATATAAGAAGCGATTGTTACAAAATAGCTAATGTTACCTATATAGATGATAGATGCTACAATACCTGTTATTTTTGTTTTACCTTTAAAATGTTGGCCCAATGTGGGGCAGATGGTTGAGTGGAAGAATGGCCATTGGCTAAACTTCGCCACCTGTGTTCTGTATGCGTGAATCATATATTATATTATA